TTTTGGTTACTTTTCGCTTCGTGGCCAGCGTGTGATAAGGTCCATACTCATGCACACAGAGACATGTGTGCACCAAAGTAACCCAAATTTGGCACTTAGACTCTTCTAAATTGGTTGAAAGAAGCATGAGTTCTCTCAATATAATTCCTTAGGTTTTGCTGGTTGTCATCACTCCTGCATCCACTCATTCCATACTTTTGGGGAGTTGCGTGTAAGCATCTCTAGGATCTGCATTAGGGACTTTATCACACAAAGCAGTAAAGGGAATTAAAGCAAGATATTCAACTTGGAAAAATTACTAAGGAAAGTCAAGGAAGAAAGTGAATCATGGAATCTTAGAGTTGGAAGAGACCTCAAGGGTCATCCAGTCCAACCCCTTTCTGCCATGCAGGAACTCACAACCAAAGCATCCCTGACAGATGGCCATCCAGCCTCTGTTTAAATACCTCCAAAGAAGGAGACTCCACCACTCTCTGAAAGAGTGTGTTTCACTGTCAAACTGCTCTCACTGTCAGGACGTTCCTCCTAATGTTGAGGTGGAATTTCTTTTTCTGTAGCTTACACCCATTGTTCCGAATCCTAATCTCTGGAGCAGCAGAAGACAAGCTTACTCCATCCTCAATGTGACACCCCTCCAAATACTTAAACAGGGCTATCATATCATTTCATTAATGATCTCTTAACCATCACTTCTCCAGGCTAAACATACCCAGTTCCTAAGCCACTCTTCATAGGGTTTCACGGTTTCCAAGCCTTCCACCATTTTGGTTCCCCTCCTCTGGACACTCTCCAGTTTTTCAACATCCTTTTTGAATTGTGGTGCCCAGAGCTGGACACAGAAATATTCCACGTGGGGCCTGACCAAAGCAGAATAGAGTGGCACTATTATTTCCCTTGATCTAGACACTATACTTCTAGTACTTCTCTTGATCTAGACACTATACTTCTATTGATGCAGCCTAAAATCCCATTGGTCTTTTTAGCTGCTGCATCACACTATTCCTGCATGGCAAGGGGTTGGACTGGAGTCTCCTTCCTTGGTGGTCTTTAAGCAGAGGCTGGATGGCCATCTGTCGGGGATGCTTTGATTGGGAGTTCCTGCATGGCAGTATAGGGTTGGACTGGATGGCCCTTGTGGTCTCTTCCAACTCTATGATTCTATGATTCTGTGACTATTGACTCGTGTTCAACTTGTGGTCTACTAGGACTCCTAGATCCCTTTCACATGTAGTCATGTTAACCCAGGTGTCCCCTATCCTATATTTATTTATTTTATTTTATTTCCAGGATTTAAATCCTGCCTTTCTCCCTCAATGAAATTTATACATTCCATTTTTTCTGTACCTTAAATTTGCAAAAGCAGGCTTACTGCTGAACATAAAGAAAACAAAAATAATAACCACTGAGGATCTACACAAATTGAATTTAGAAAATGAGGAAACTGAAATCTTTCTAGACTTTCCATACCTAGGATCAAACATTGATTTGAACAGAAACTGCGGTCAGGAAATCAGAAGAAGAGTATGAAAAGGAAGGGCAGCCATGAAGGAACTAGAAAAGATCCTAGAGAGTAAAGACCTACAACTGAGCACCAAAATTAGAATTGTCTAATCCATCGTATTCCCTATAACCATGTTTGGATGTAAGCGCTGGACAGGGAAAGAAGCGGATAAAAAGAAAATCAATTCATCTACGATGTTAGGATTGTCCATGCCATTGTATTTCCAATTTCTATGTGTGGTTGTGAAAGCTGGACAGTGAAGAAAGAAGATAGGAGGAAAATCAATGCATTTGAGAGAATGTGGGGCTGGAGGAGAGTGCTGAGGATCCCATGGACAGCCAAAAGCAGGGGTAGGCAACCTTTCCCCTTTAAGGGCTGAGGGACTTCAGCTCCCAGAATCCCAGGAGCTATTGGCCAACATGGGACTATTGGCCAACATGGCTGAGGCTTCTGGGAGCTGAAGTCCCTCGGCCCTTAAAGGGGAAAGGTTTGCCTACCCCTGGCCAAAAGGACAAACAAAGGGATCCCAGATCAAACCGGAAACCTCCCTGGAAGCTAAGACGACAACACTTTGGTTCGTTGAGGCACCAGAGCTCTCTGAGAAAGAAGGCTAAATATCTCACAAAACTACAAATCCCAGAAGTCCTTAACATTGAGGCATGCGGTCAGTTAAAGCAAACTGCATTAAATCTTCCATGCAGATAAGACCCTGGATTATCACAGTTATGGACACCAAGCCTTATGAAGGACTGAGGGAGCTGGGTTTGTTTAACTTGGGCTGCATCCACACTGGAGAAATAATCCGGTTTGGCACCGCTTTAACTCTTTCTGGCTCAAGGCTATGGAATTCTGGGAATTGGAGTTTGTTGTGGGGCCGCCCCACAATAAACTCAATTTCCCAGAATTCCATAGCCTTGAGCCAGAAAGAGTTAAAGCGTTGCCAAACCAGATTATTCCTGCATTATTTTGGACTTGAGAAGCCTTCCAATCAGATGGGCAGCTGGGGAAAGTCACTTTTCAAGACTAGGTCTGCATCCACACTGCAGAAATAACCCACTTTGATATCCTTTTAACTCCCATGGTTCCATCCTATGGAATTCTGGGATGTGTACTTTTGTGAGACAACCAGCTTTTGACTGCATCTGCACTGGAGAAATGATGCAGTTTGAGACTGCTTTAACAGCCCTGGCTCAATGCTATGGAATCCTGGGAAGTGTAGTTTTGTGAAACATTGAACCTTCTCTGTCAGAGAGAGACAGAGAGAGAGTGCTCTCTGGTGCCACAACAAAATATAATTCCCAGGACTGCACAGCAGTGAGCCATAGCAGTTAAAACGGGACCAAACCGGATTATATCTGCAATGCGGAAGCCTCCTACAGGAAACTCAAACATAAATTTGGAAACAAAGGCCTAACTTATAGGTGCGCTTTCCCCTCCCACCAGCAGGGGCCGCTCTCACGAGGGGAGAGCCTCGCCGAACGCCGCCGTCGATGACAGCGTTCCGATTGGCTATTGCTACTACTGACGTCATCCCGAGACTGGAAGGGCGGAGCTTGGCTTTTAGATGGGACCGCCTTCGGTCTCGCGATGGGGGGATTGTACTGCGCCTGCGCGAAGGCGATCTACTGAGATAAGACAAGGAGGAGGAGGAGAAGAAAATGGCCGGCGGGTGTCACGTGATGAGGGAGAATGCTCGCGAGAAAACGCGAGAGCGAGGTCCATTTCCGCTTCCGCTTGGTGGTGGTGAAGAAGAGCGAAGGGGAAAAAGGAGGCGAGGCCGCCCGGTTGTTGTAGTCGCCGTGGTCGGGCTCCGTCGAGGCGCCTCAGGTTGGTCCGGGAGGGTTGAGGGGCGGCGAGGGAGGCGGAAGAGGCAGGGCCAGGCCTGGGCAGAGGCCGGGAGGGGGCGAGGCGGCGCCATAACGATCCAAAGGGGAGCGCCTTCTCAGGAGAGGCGGGGAGGGCGGGAATGGTGGCTCTTTCAGGGAAGTGATGGCGATGGCTGGGAGAGGCCTGGACGGAGGAGCCCCAGGAAGCGGCCTGCCTCAGACCTGGCTCTCCCTACCGTTCTTACAGTCCAGGGGTAGGCAACCTTTCCCCTTTAAGGGCCGAGGGATTTCAGCTCCCAGAAGCCTCAGCCATGTTGGCCTATAATAGTCCCATGTTGGCCAATAGCTCCTGGGATTCTGGGAGCTGAAGTCCCTCGGCCCTTAAAGGGGAAAGGTTGCCTACCCCTGTTATAGTCAGTCGTTATAGCAGTACAGCCTCTAGAGCAAGGGAAGAATTCAAAGATATAGCCGTGTTAATCTGTAGACTCAGTACGTAGAGAGACCTTGGAGCACCTTTGAGACTCATTGAAAGAAAGAAATTGGCAGCATGAGCTTTCCTAGACTTCACTCTACTTCAAGCTAAATGCATCTGAGGAAGTAGACTGAAGTCTACGAAAACTCATACTACCAATTTCTTTCTTTC